CATCATCTTCTTCCACAAACTCAGTCTCGAACAGTCCCTTTTGTGGGCCAAATCCTCACTCTGAGCCCCGGGGCCAACTTACCTGTGCCACAAAACATCGGTATCTTGCACACAAAGTAACAACTTGGCTGCTGGCATATCAACCGGCCTCATTAGGCATTCGAGACAGACAAACGCGCCTAATCAGATAGCCAGGCCGCCTCCCGACCTCCACCTACAGAGAGAGGGAAAGTGAACATAGAGACTAGACCGCAGCGTGAAGAGTGAAACCAAATTGGTGACTGCGGAGTTGGTATTCATGTTGGCGCCATTGATAGTCGCGACCACAGTGGAATTAGCAGTATTGGTGGTGGATTAACGGTTGTTCTAGAAATCTGTTTGGGGGCCAGGCAATTGGCAATAAGAACCGAAGTAACAGCGGAATTATCAAGAGAGACTAGCAGTCGAGTTGGCACTAATTAAATTCCGAATGACAAACAAAGCGGCAAGGAGATGAAACTACAGAATTTCAAGAATTTTCTACCTCTTGTCTTGAGAGGGAGAGACATGTATGTGGCCATTTAGTACCATTTACCATGAATAAGAGACCTCGTGATGACCTCCATAACCGACATGTGCAAACAAGACCATCTATCTATCCAAAGCTTTGGTAGCCAGCTACCCACGATCTCAGCCTCGCAGTCCGGACCTGTACCTGTGCCGGCCACCGTGTCCATCGCCGCCTGGCTCCCTCATTCCCAAGGGCATCATCATCTCAATCATTGTCGTTGTTCAGGTCATCATTTTTCGACCGAGGCTCCATAATTAGCCGTAGCAGCTACCACATCGACCCCGGAATCAAAGACGCCACTAAGCATGTCATTTACTTCGAACCTGGGACCACCGTCAGGCCGTAATCAACAGTCAGCCATCAAAGTGTCCGATAGATGGATACATTTCCGGCCAGGGAGGACCCACGTGTCCCCCAAAGCTAGCAACCACGCATCTGAAACTACTGGGGAGTATGCTAATTATGAGTAGGCAATTCAATTAGCCTAGGTAATTTAAGGTAATGAAAAGAATGATAGCTTTTGTTATAGCTCGTATGATAATTTTTATACGTACTCTCTATGTATAAAGTAGTGTATCATTCGAATTATCGTAAAACAGTCGTATAATAAATATGTAGGCTATGAACATGTCTTGAAAGTCGCATCTGGTGGGAGGGAAACATTTGTGAAAACCCTCTGTAATAAGATGAGACACTTGAAGTCTCTTGCAGTGATGTGGTACTGGCAGTTAAATGTTTCTCGGGAAAATGAGAAGAAGATTTATTTAAAATTAATTCAACGGAATCAAGGTCAATTAGTTTTACCTCCCAAATAGCTTTTCCCCCAGAAGGAGACCTCAACATTGATCCCGTTTCATATTTCTCGCCAGCATCTGAACGGGATTCGAACCCTGGCCGTGAATGTCAACAGGTCACATCCTTATCTACCTTGCAACCGATTGTTATTAAAGCTTGCATAAAGGGGCAGTAAAGTTGTTGATGATTAAAGTTAGTAATGCGAAATGGATAAAATAAGTGGATATTGAAGTACGCTAGGCCCAAACTTTCTGAAAGCTTTGTAATGCCGGTTGGACTGCAGTTACAACCGCCCATGGATCACATCAGGTCCCCAACGAAATTAAAGGGTTGGATCATATGCGGCTGGCAAAGTCGACATACAAACGTGGTGATAAATAAGCCATCCAACAGGCGTGACTTTCAAGTTAATTCACATATATAATGGGACTCCTGTCGATAAGGCAAACACATATTTAATTTTACACTAAAAGATAATCGAAATAAGGAATAAATATGTTTAAAGATAATCCCGTTTGTATAA